TTCATGAATCTCAAAATGTCTTAATTACCTTTTGCCATACTAGTTTCTAGAGATCGATTTGTTTTTATGAAGGCATATATGTTCAAAACTTGTGGCTTTACTGTTTGGATTTTGATTCATGTCTTCACATGTCAAAAAAAGTACACTCTGCTAGTTACAATCCCCATTTCTCCCAATATATTGAAGTTGTACTACAGATTTCTAGCTACAGTAAGCAATTCTCCAAGGATGAGGCAAGAAAACGTACATACACATAGGAATTTCTTTTCCAGAGCTAAAATTGACATTTTATAAATAATTTCTGTGTTGCAAGCTTGAGACTAAGAAATCACAGCAATTCAGTGATATGCATTTGGCATGAGTCAGTTTTAGTTCTGAGTGCTTTTCATTGGAAATGGCATAAAAAGTAAGATTTCCTTGAATTTTTTATGCTGTGGGCTTACAAGAGACATAAGATGTTTTTTTCTTATAGATGCCTGGTAGTGCGTGGCGGCAGAAGTAACAAAATGGTCACCAACCCCAGCAGTACTTCCCAGGTTACATGCACCCTTAATTTTTAAAGAATCTAGAAACAATCTAAGCAGTTGATAAGAGGTCATTTCTAGGTGATAAGGATATTTGATAGGGAGTGTTGCCTTTTTCCCCACACATAGCAGTTTTATAGTCATTTAGAAACTCATTATATATGGTAGTGAGTTTATGTTTCTAAGTATGTAACCAAACTGGTAGCTGAATTTTAAGTCCTTTTTTCTCTTTTTGATGTTTGACATTGATTTTGAGGTCTTAAAATGTTTTTTTCAAGCTTTTTAAAAATTATTATCATTAAAAATCACTTTATGTATAACACTTCCCTTAGTCATTGACTGGTATATATGCAATTGGAAGTTCAAAAGATAGCTACTGTTAAAAAAGAGAAAAAGATTGTGAATTATAGTTAACTACTGCCAGAAGTGCGTATGCCTTTTTCTTTCAAACACCTTTGTATTAAAGTAATTTTAAAAGGTTTACTTAAAAAATAGCTGCCTCTGAATGTAAAAATTGGGAACTATAGACTGGTGCTTTAGAAATTTAGTCTGGTCTTTCAGTGACCTAGCAGTTGATACAAAAACATGAATTTAAAAATAAGTAGTATATTGGATAAACTGTGCTATACTCCTGAAAGAAGCCAAAAAATTATGGATTACACTGAATTTGAAAATAATTAGTTTTGAGTCCTAAACCAGGTTCATTATTAAAATGAAATGTTCGGTGCTTGACCCTGGGTATGCTTGGAAAAAATATGGGACACAGCATTGTTTTTAAAACTATTTTGCTTTTATAAGCTAAGACAGATGTACAAAAAAGATGCAGTTTTTATTTTGTATTGGCAGCTTCCAAATATTTAGTATTTATTTCCAAGAGTTGCAATTAGTAAAGCAACCATGGTACTGAAATCTGCACATCCCACAAGCTAATTATATTTGCAAGGTCAGAGTGAATACATATTTTCAGAAAAATAAAGGGTTATATAAATATGTGTCTTCTACTTGGCTGTTATATCACAGTTTGTTGATCTGGAGTATAATGTGTACAATTCACAAATTTGTCTGATAACAGAAAGTGGTGTGTGATTGTGTTTATTTTACTAACCAGTATATTCACAGCAATCACTTCCAAATATCTCTCCAGTAAAGATGTGTTAATTACAAAACAGACAAGGTCTTCTATTATATTAAAGCTACTAACAAGAAGACAGCAGGAATCACACATGTAAATAGCATCATCAACCCCTATTTTAGTCCTCTGTTTTGATCTGTGAGTTGCGCATAGACCAAAGGTGCTATTAAAGACTGGGTGTATGAAATAGGCAGCATTATATGAACAAAATTTATTCAACAAGAAAACAGACCTTTAACATGAATTTAACAAGCCTGAGAAATTATAAACTATCATATGCTGCAGATTCATGCAGTGATAATAAACAAAAAAGGAAAGTAAGAGGTTTCCCTAAGCTAGCCAAACTGCTAATGGTTTTGTTATAAGCTGTCTACTGTTGCAGTGACCTCTGAAAACTCTCAAGGCACTTGTACCAGAAAAAAATTAAATGGTCAGGCTGGTGAATAGAGATTCAACGTGATATGTAGGATTTCAACATGGAAAAAGAATTATGAAAGTCTAACATCATATGCCTGGAAATAAGTCTTCATACTTTAGTTTGGAAGTTTTCCTTATTACTTACTAAAGAGGTAGTTTGGGGGCAGTTTTTTGGCTAAATTTAGCACTTAAATTTATAAGACAAACTGAACTGGTGTAATATATATATATACTTTAAACAAACTGTTTAGAAAATTCATACAACTCCAAAAAATGGATTCTTTCCATGTGCCGCCCCTGCCCCCATGCCTTAATTAATCCTTAGGGGTTCTTTGTTCAGTATCTAAGATTCCCATTCTTAACCATGGAGTGACCACTTTGCTGTCATTCTGTTGCATCATGCTGTAAATACATAAACATAAACGCCTTCAGCTTATGCACACCTCCAAGTGCTCACTAGGGCTTTTTCTTGAATCTGACTGTGGCATAATTAACACCTTCTTCACCCACCGCTCATTACTGCACTGGACATTAATGAGTCTATTTTGATAGGTTGCTCTAAAGGAAAAAACCCTGCTATTCTCACAGCACAAAAAGCAATTATAGAATTGTGCAGAAATTAAAATGTAGACTATATTGCCATTATTTATATTTTTATTGCATTCTAAGTCTAATTTTGGTCTGCAGGTTGTTGAACATACTAGTTTCCTTAAGACAGTTGCTATAGTGATGGCAGCAAATTCCTTTAATCTTGTTGTATTCATTTTCTATTGGCTATCATTGCTACTCAGGAATTGTCAATCAGAGCATGTCATTTCACAATAGGCCATCATTTAGTAGTTGAATAGCATATTAAATATTTGAATTGTTAATTTTTAATAGAATTGAAGTTTTCTCTTAGCTTTGTTTTGAACCAATCATGATATCTACTTAGCTGGTAATCTCATTTCCTCTTTATAAAGTTTCACACCTGCTTATAAAATTCCAGAGAAATAACATAGAGATTTTTGCATGCAAAATAGGTGTCTGCTGCTTTAGTTTGAAAGCATTCAGTATAAAACAGTATGCAGGCATTTTGTTGTGATATAAAATGTAACTTTCATAGTATTGTAGAAGTGGTTTTTGCCCATAGATGGTTTTACTGAAATCTTAGAGTGGAATCAAAGTACTCGAAAAACATGTGGGCCAAAATGATGCTTTGCCCTTAAATATTTACCACTAATAAGGTAGCAGTTCTTAATTCTGTATAAGTTGTACATCTATCTATCAAAATGGTCACTTTTCTCCTCTTTTGCCTACATTTTAATTTTGTGTGCTTCTTACAAATGCCAGAAAATTTTACTTCTCTATTTTTTAAACAATTGTTTGAAATTATAATAACTGAAGTCTGATATTACTACCTATGTTATTGCTTTATGAATAAAATATGACTAGAGAAAAATGTAAGTGTAAGCAAGAGATACTAACTTAGGCCATATTTATTATATATAAATGTGGAAGTTATGTCTGGATTATAGATACTGTATGAAAAGAAAAAAGTTTGCACAGACTATTAAATCATGCATGTTCTGGGAATACTTTTATTTTGAGGCAAGAGGAATCTTTAGGGTAATTCACATTGTAAGAAATAAAAGAAAAGTTCAAAGTTGATTTTGTTGGCCTGCTGGAGTGGTAGAGGCCTGGGCTTGGTTGCCTTTTTTAGAAAGGGCGATTTCTTTTTTGTCTTTCAATCTTGTTCTTAAGTATACAGCATTTAGTAGTTCTTACTACAGACAGATTTTTCAGCCTAGGTTAGATTTCAGTCGACTTAACTTCAAGGGAAATAAATTTTATTTTTAATCTCTTCAGTATCCTCAAACAATAATTAAGCAAATGGGGAACAGCCTAGTAGACAATAGCTTTTAAAATATCGATAATTTCAGTTATTTAGCACTTACAAAGGCAAATCAAGAAGTACTTTCTTTTCCTGCTATAAAATGTGTTTTTATGTGATGAATGTATTGAATTTATTTTCAAGGTAATAGGTTTAAATTCCCAGATAGAGGCATCGGTCTTAAATCCTAGTGTTTTACATAAAACTTCACATTTAAAAGCATTAACAGGTTCTCAACTCCATGTTGACACAGAAAAAAGCATTAGGATAGTATGTGATTCTCATTAAACTCAATATGTAAGAGCTAACACATGATATGGTTGTATCATGTAAGAATTTGAAGTACAGAAATATTGAATACACTTAACAAAATGGATACCTATTGTTTCTTTACTATGAACGGAGGGCCATGTCATTCTCTACCACGTTCCTGTCTTAAAGCACAGATGACCTTGGTTTTCTTGTATTGTGCCTCCTGTTCTTGACAGTGGCTTGGACATATAAGGCCATCAGACAAGGTATATAGTTTTTTATAGTCACAAGAAGTAAAAGGTATCTGACTAGAAGAGACTACATGGAGCAAGTGCTTTGCTGGTTGTAATTTTGTTGTCATTTCAAGTACTGTGGTAGTATAATTGATGTGACAGGGCTGGGCTTTAGATGTGGTCCCTTAGCTTGTGCTCACTTTCAGTTTTAGTTTCTCTTTGCCATTCATTTTGATTAGGTAAAATTTAGGTGACAAACATGAACACCAATGAAGGCTGTTTGGGATAAGTTTAGTAATGGTGTATTTCAATAATAAAGATGCAAAGTTAATGTTTTTTCTTTACTGCTTCATGAAAATTGCAATAATTGGTGTCACCTTACATTACAAGACAGGGTGGTGTGCTGATGGCACAGTCAGCGGGAGGTTCTTTTTTATTAATATTATAATTAAATGATTTTCTGGAAATAGGCCAGAAACAGATGCAAGTTGATCATGCCTTGTCCACTGCTGCTTGGCATCATCACTTGCTTTTTAAAAAAGAATTGACCTGACACCTTATTTTTACAGGTTGTTATTGATGCCTTCAGATTGATCAATGCTAATATGATGGTCTTAGGACATGAACCGAGACAAACAACCTCAAATCTGGGTCACTTAAACAAGCCATCTATCCAGGTAATCCCTGTATTTGATAATGTGTTAAAACTCTGTTTTACATTTTAAAAGCCTGTTATAAACGGCCATTTTAAAATGTAATACTTAGAATTTTAATTTGTTTGCAATTTTTCATGTGTTTTAAAAGAAGGTTATGGAAATACTACAAAAGTTAGTTTTGCTTATGTATGAGTCAGTTTTTATTGGAGTCTTTAAACTTTCCTAACATAACTTGAGGACACCCTTTTTTGGGAGCATAGTAGAGCCTTTATCTTGAGGATACTTTACACTTTTGCATGGTTAACATTGTAGTAAAGGACCAATATGAGTTCCAGGTGGAGTGTATTAGGTATCATTATTGATTGATTATAGACATTTCTCATAACAGTAAATAATGGGAAAATTGATGTATACTGTAAGAGGTCCCCAGAAACAATTCCTAGATAGTACTTAAAATTTTCTACCTTTGTTTTTGTTTAATACCTACTTTTAAACAGTTCCTACAAAACACATCTATAAATCACTTCTGCTTAGTTTAGAATTTACATCTTCTTTATTGTCAACCACCATTATTACAGTTATTCAGAGACCTTATATCCTCCTGAGTCATTAATGTTTTGTTTATATCATTCACATGCCTCATTGTCTTTACACAAATCTTTATTGTCTACCAAAATTATTTTAAATATGTTTTTAAAGGCACCACAATCTGTGTCTATATAGTTAATTGCTTCTCTGAAGATTAATTACAAGGACAGAAATACCATGTTTGGTTAAATAGAACTCATAGGACAAAGACATTATAGTAGCTATTGCTGCTCTCCTTCTGAAACCTTGCTCTGTCATACTATTGCCTTTGGGGAGTTGTGGCTTTGACAGTGAACCATGGTTAAGCCTTGGTTACACTTTGATAACTTTTTACTTCTTGACGCTTACTTTTGCAGCAGTCACTCATTTGAAATCTTCATCAAAGTGAAATGTTTTGTTTCAAAGGAGTGAGGTGTGTTGCTTTTGAAAAAAAAAATTTTTTTTTTTTACAAGATGGGAAAACTGTGAAATATAATGAGCATGAAATAAGCTACCAATGTTTTTGATTGGGTGTAGACAAGCCCCTGCTTGCATGTTCCAAGAGAATACATCATTGGATCTGTTTAGCCTGTGATAATGACCTTTCTTATAAACTCCCATAGCATCATACTGCTTCATTATTTTTTTTGCAAAGGTTAAGTAGCATCTCACAATCCAAGATCATTGTGATTATTCATGGTATGTTTCTGCCAGAAGTTTTTACTAATTGCAAGTCAAGAGCCACCTGTTGCAGATTTCAACTTTTAAATTCAAACACCGCTTTTTAACCTTAAACATTGAATATAATCAATATTAAAATTAATCTCTTTAAGCAATGGTCCATTTGCATATTTTAATCCTCTACCTCCTTTTCTATAATGTAAGATGGACCTTATGCTGAAGCAAGCTCTGAACCCAAGTGTAAAGAACCTGAATATATAACAGCCACAGCATCATTGTTTTCCCTTTCATTTTAGTTTGTTTTGCCTTCCAATTAAAATCTGTAAATATATTTATTTCACAGTTTATATAGCGCCCATCAGAATGACATCTATCTGGGTGCTTTACAGTTTTAAAAAAATTTCCATACTAAAATTCTCAAATGGATCAAGCCAAAAAGTGACAGAACAAAGCCACACCTTAAAACAGTTTCTTAGTTTTCTAAGACAAGCTAGAAAGAAAAGCATGGAAGAACCAGAAATCAAGGGTAATATCCATAATGGAGTTTTAATATATGTTAGCAGAATCTTTAACTTGGAGATCAGAAGTCTTTTCAGAAAGCCCATGCCTTTTATTTTGAAGGAAAATTAGTTCGTGTTAACAAGGGTCTTTCTCCAAAACCCACTTTTAAATAGTAGGGATGGAAACCAGACAGCAGCTATCAGCACTCATGCTGGTAGTTACCAAAGCTTTTCTACACCAATTCCTGTATGATTATACTTAAAGTAGTGAGAAGAAGAATTAGGATTACACTGTATACTCTGTCATTTAAGGAAAGTTCAAAATATGGTAAGAAAAAGGATATAAAAATAGGATATAAAGTTTTCCTCTTTGCAGATACATGTTTTATAAACTATGCCTGTATATTTATAATAAGATGTTAGTATTGATTACCTTTGGCTTGTAGGATTATGGATTTTTTTCTTGTTTTAAAAACCTCCATATTAAAGTTTCTATAGTGAAACATATTGCTTTTAGAAAATGTTACTTTTAAACCACTATGAACCCTGTTGAAGTGTCTACCGCAACACAGAGCTAATAGACAAAGTTTATATTAACTTTGATGTTTTAATAAGAGAAGCCATTAATAATCCTGATAGGGAAAAGTATAATGCCTGTATTTTAGACTTTTCTATTTATATATGATTTTTATTATTTTTTGTTTTGTTTTGTTTTTGTTTTTGTTTGGTATCATTAATATACAATCACAGCAACATTATGGTTACTAGATTACCCCCATTATCAAGTCCCCACCACATACCCCATTACAGTCACTGTCCATCAGTGTGGTAAGATGCTATAGAGTCACTACTTGTCTTCTCTGTGCTATACTTCCTTCCCTGTGCCCCCCACTACGTTATGTGTGCTAATTGTAATTCCCCTTATTCCCTCCCTTCCCACCACCTTCCCCAGTCCCTTTCCCTTTGATAACTGTTAGTCCATTCTTGGGTTCTGTGAGTCTGCTGCTGTTTTGTTCCTTCAGTTTTTTCTTTGTTCTTGTACTCCACAGATGAGTGAAATCATTTGGTACTTGTCTTTCTCCACCAGGCTTATTTCACTGAACATAATACTCTCTAGCTCCATCCTAGTTGTTTCAAATGGTAGGAGTTGTTTTCTTCTTATGGCTGAATAATATTCCATTATGTATCTTCTTCATTCATTCATATACTGATGGATTCTTAGGTTGCTTCCACTTCTTGACTATTGTAAATAGTGCTGCAATAAATATAAGGGTGCAACTGTCTTTTTGAATCTGGGATCCTGCATTCGTAGGATAAATTCCTACGAGTGGAATTCCTAGGTCAAATGGTATTTCTATTTTGAGTTTTTTGAGGAACCTTCATACTGCTTTCTCAATGATTGAACTAGTTTACATTTCTACCAGCAGTGTAGGAGTTTTCCCCTTTCTCCGCATCCTCGCCAGCATTTGTTGATACTAGTCTTTTGGATGTTGGCCATCCTAACTGGTGTGAGGTGATACCTCATTGTGGTTTTAATTTGCATGTCTCTGATGATTAGCAGTGTGGAGCATCTTTTCATGTGCCTCTTGGTCATCTGAGTTTCTTCTTTGGAGAAGTGTCTGTTCAGATCCTCTGCCCATTTTTTAATTGGATTATTAGCTTTTTGTTTGTTGAAGCACGTGAGCTCTTTATATATTTTGGATGTCAGCACCTTAGTGGATCTGTCATTTATGAATATATTCTCCCATACTGTAGGATGCTTTTTTGTTCTACTGATGGTTTCCTTTGCTGTACAGAAGCTTTTTAGTTTGATATAATCCCATTTGTTCATTTTTGCTTTAGTTTCCCTTGCCTGGGGAGATATGTTCATGAAAAAGTTGCTCATGTTTATATTCAATAAGAGTTTTGCCTGTTTTCTTCTGTTTTATGGTTTCATGACTTACATTCAGGTTTTTTATTCATTTTGAGTTTACTTTTTTGTATGGAGTTAGACAATGATCCAGTTTCATTCTCTTACATGTAGCTGTCCAGTTTTGCCAACACCCATTGAAGAGGCTGTCATTTCCCCACTGTATATTCATGGCTCCTTTATCCTATATTAATTGACCATATGTGTTAATATCTGGACTCTCTATTCTGTTCCACTGGTCTATGGGTCTGTTCTTGTGCCAGTACCAATGTGTCTTGATTACTGTGGCTTTGTAGTACAGCTTGAAATTGGAAAGTGTGATTCTCCCCTGCTTTATTCTTCCTTCTCAGGATTGCTTTGGCTATTCGGGGTCTTTTGTGGTTCTGTATGAATTTTAGAACTATTTGTTCCCGTTCATTGAAGAAGGCTGTTGGTATTTTGATAGGGATTGCATTGAATCTGTAGATTGCTTTAGGCAGGATGGCCATTTTGACAATATTAATTCTTCTACCGAAGAGCATGCGACTTTGTATGAGTTTTTACTTGGATCATTTGACCGTTATTGTAAAATGCATAAAATTGAGAGTTAACAAGTATATATTTTAGTAACTAAAAATTTTAAAGGATTCCACTAAAAACTGTTCAGGGCCTTTAGATCCTTAGAGCCATAGCATATGTGAAGATTGGTTGCCAGCCACATGAAAATTTAATAAATATTGGTGCATAGATGCATTGGTGCAAAGTGTTAGGACTATGACCCTGTGAGTGTAAGCCTGAATATAATTGTAGTGTCTAAAAGAGTTAAGCTATTTGAAAACATTGTTTTCAGATTAAACAGTTGTAAAATAGTTGCACTGGAAGGAACCATGTGGTCATTTTGTAGGTGAGGAAATTTAAGCCCAGAAAATTTGTGATTTGTCCATGTTATCTAATGACTTAATGTAGCAACTCGTATTCATAACCAACACTCATTCTTTTATACTATACATGGAAGTTCCAATTAATTAACCAATTTTGGCATAAATAATATATGTATACAGTTCAAAACTCATAAGGCACAGAAAGGTACCACACTCTCTCTTCTACTTCTGTCTTCTGCAATCCAGTTTTCTACTTTAGAGGGAAGCACATTTTATTTTCAGTTATTATGTTTACATAAAGAAAGCTTTATTTTAAAATGGTTTAATGAATATTATTTAGCACCACATTTTCAGTTTATCAGTGTAAGATAATTCAAGGCAAACAAATTTATCTGAGATCTAAATAAATATGCCTTACTTTTTTAAGAGTATGAAGCTTTTTTAACCTATCAAGAATCTATAAATAGGTTATTATATAGTTCATAGCTATGTGTTTCATAATATGCCTGCTTTCCCATAGCAGTGAATGTATGGAGGTACACCTAACCTCTTCTCCATAGTCTGGGCAACAACAATGAAGTAATGCTTAGGGTGGCTTTTAGTTGCTTTTAATTATCTGGCACAGTCATTATGTGGGAGTCATTTAAGGATCTTATTTTAGAAACTATTGTCAGCAATCTTTTTACATAAAATACGATTCTACACGATTCTACACAATTCCACCCAATCTGGGAACTAACCACCTCTCATAAACTGCCTGTTTTTATTCCATAGTTTCTACTACCTTTGCTCATACATCATTGCAGTTCTAAGCCTCTCACTTTTTTCCTTCTATTATTTATGCTTTCCTGGGTTAGTCAATCTTGAGCATTCATTGGGATTAGGTCCCTATTCTCCCAAAGATTTCTAATATCTAAGTTTAGTAATTCATGTGAATGAATGAATATAGAAATAAAAATAATTCAAAGGATGATTGGTTTTGAAGTTTATTTCTCTAATGATTATTTGTATACTTGTTTTGAATTTGTCATGCCAAGAGAATTATAAAGCTCTACTCTAAAGGTTAACTAAACAAGCAAAAAATAAACTGGAAATTAATCAGCAGGATCTCTGAAATGTCCCGTTTGTCTAGTTCTTCCTCCAAACCATTCTTCATCTAGAATAGGTAGCATCTTGGACTGATACTGAATACCACCCTAGGCAGAACTTCCTTCTTTGAAAGGCTGGCAGGCTTTGAGCAAAGAAAATAAGGGTCAGAATAATCAAGAATCAAATAAGCTAAGTGCTAGTACTAAATCCTAAGTGTCCTGTCCTAGAAATAGTACCATAAATGTGTCCCGTGTCAGCCACTGAAACTTATTTATCCCACAACATATAATACTATAGAATAGAGCCATGCTTTATCACAATGTTTCTATGAGAAACTATTGCAGATTTCAAATCACCAATTAAATGAATGAGCTTTAGAAATACATCCTGTTGTCATGAAGAATGTCCTAAGTTTTCCTAAGTCCACTGTGTATTTGTTAAGTGTAAATTTAAAAGATAAGTAGTGATATTTTAAGAAATTTTTTGGCTGTATAACTTTCTGCTTTATCTGCCTGACCTACTGTGGCATTTGCTAGTATGTTATATTTAATTTACAATTTGACCCTTTCAAAAGGCTAGTCTCATGACTGATAAAATGAATCTAAATGTTTGGCATATGCTGCCACACCTTGTAATTCGGTGTCAACTAGATTGTTTAACTTGAAAGAATATATTCATTGAGTTAAAAGAGACTGCTTTGGGGGCTCATGTGGAAGGAGAACAGCATGGCCAGTTTATGGTTTGGTGACTGCACTGGGTTACACAGCAGGTCGGTTAGTGAAGTTGGAAGATTGCTTGAGGATATCAGTTGATTTAAACATATTTGTCATTATGCCTGTTAATCTTTCATGTTTGTTATTTTATCTAAATAATGGAATTGAAAATCAAGTCTGTACTGCCTTTAGATACCAAACTGTGTATTTCATCAGTATAGTTAATCTCCATCTGTGGACCTATCTGTGGGCCCATTGGCTGACTTCTGTACGTATTGGCCAAAGCTGTTACTAGCTTTATGGCCACTATGTAAAATCACGTAGTTAGGTCATTCCGCAAAGGCACTTGGATGAAGGGTCATTTGGCAACTGGAATCTAGCCTAAGCTCCACTCTCTAGCTAGGCTGTGTCTCTTTGGAGGATAGGGCACAGTTTTCTAATTCTTCCACCCAGATGTTGTACTTCCTAATTTGCATAAAGATGAGTACAGATTAAGGGAGGCTCTGATTGGTTTCACTTTTTGATTTGCACAGTACAGCATTTCTGTGTACAGAAATTTAATTCACTGTTCCCTTTGATTATTGAAATGGCTAAGGGTTTAATAAGATTGTCTTAATACTTTTATTTTATGTATCAACCGTTTTATTTTAGCAGATGCTAGGAATATAAGAATGGATTGTTACAGTACATATCTAAAATGTTTTAGTACTCAGTGGGGTGATTTTCACTAACAGAGTTTAAAAATAAGACTGACTATGCTTTGTTTTTATCCTGATCTTTAAAGTACAGACTTAATCGAAGAATTTCCTGAGATACATTATAGCATAGTATAGTAGAAAAAACATGGGCTTTGGAGTTAGAAAGACTTGGGATCAAATCCCAGCTTTGCCTTTTAATAGCTATAAACTTGGACAAGTTAAGATTTGTGTATTATTTCCCTCATTCATCGAAATACAAATGGGGCCAGCCTACCTTAGTGGGTTGTTGTGAAGCTTAGAAGATTTAATGTGTAAAGCAAGTGCTAGGTGTTCATTAAATGTTACCTTTCTACCCCTTCTTCAACCTCAACACCTTAAGACTTACACTGTGAAAACCCAGTAATTAGAGAGTGTGGTGGTGGTTTTGGTTAGCTTTATCTTTAGATTCCTGAGAGGTAACCCCAAAGCCTTTTTTTTTAGGCTTATTGAAAATATGTCCAATGTATATGTTTGTACTATCATTTCTAACCAGGCTGATAGAGGGCTCCCCAGAATATCATTCTAAACCTCATTTGAACCTCTGTTGGCAGAGTTAAGTATTTGAGCATTTCTGAATGGATTGTAGCACATCAGGTGATCATTTCTTAATAAAGCCATACCATTTGCTTAAATTTTTACTATGATTTTTGTTTAGGAGATCATTTTTGTACTTGAAGCTGAGAAAAAAAATACTTAATCTTTAGGATAAAAAGACCTTTAGAAGATGGCAGAGGTCTGCAGGGTATGTCAATAGTTTTAAACAGTTGTATTTATTTTATTAGATGAAAAATATTAATTTGTTCTTTTTCCATCACTTATCTATATAGGCATTAATTCATGGACTAAACAGACATTATTATTCCATTACTATTAATTATCGGAAAAATGAACTGGAACAGAAGGTAAGTCTAAATTTTTTTATCTTTGGAAAAAAAATATTTTTCAAATCATTTTAACAGTATTACATGGTATATTTGAATTTGAATCATTGACTTCTTTAATTGATGTGTTCAAATATTTTTTCATTCCTGATGAATTGCAGCCTAAATAAAGGAATATATTACTGGACATCTTGATAGATGTCTTATTTTCTTGGTAGATGCTAAAGCAGAAGAGGAAATGGGAAACAAACATTCCAACTTGGTTTTATGATAAATTATAAAAGTCCTCCTAGTTCTGTGATTTTTTTTTGACTGATTTATTTTCTCTAATAAGATGTCCTTTGTGACTAAATTCTTTCCAAATTTGAAAGGAATAAATTATGTTGTAATTGTGTAGTGCTTTAAAAAAACATACCATGTTTACCTCGGGTAAGCTAAAGTTGAGTCAAAAGGGAAATAGAGTGGGGTTTTCAGATATTTAGAGCTGGATTCTTATCCTTTATACGAGGCAGTTTTCAAATTTCGTTATTTTAAAATCACCTAGCATCTTTGTGTATTAGCATTCCTTTGTTTCTACTATTGTAGGATTATTTCAAACGCAGTTTTTCTCTCAACTAATGCCAATGTTTAAGTCTGCCTATTGCTTTTGAAATTGTAGTCTGAATTGCTGTTTTTTTTCTTGCTGTTACCGTTAGTTATCCTCCAAATTAGCTGATTGTATTTCCTTCTGAGAAAGACTTACACATTTTTTAAGAACACTGAATATTATTGACAGACAGTAAGTTTTAGTTTCTACCTGCACTCTCAAGTCTAAACATAAATAATCAGTAGTAAACAAAACCTTTCTTACTGGCTGAACTAACTGTTCCTCACAGAGGTGCCTTCAAAATGGGTTCTAGTGCCTGTGGTGAGTGAGTAGAAGATGGAGTGAGTTGTGCTCTCCAAACTATCTCCTCTTTCAACCAGATCGCCTCCATTTTAATCTTATTTACATATTATATGGACGATGTGCTATATAAGATTTTCTTTGAAAGAAAATTGTTTTCTTTTGTTTATTTAAGTTTGATAAGTCACTGTTTTAAAAAGTCAGAGCCACCAATAAACTCACCCAAAGGTAGGTACTTGAGCGTGGTGATGGGTGAGGGGTTCCAGGACCAGCTATTCCTTGGCCTAAAGCAAAACAGAGAGTCATTAAGCTCTCCTACAGCTACATGCTATGTCCCAAAATTTATATATATGTGTATCTACTGTAGTAGTTTAGTCAATAGATTGAAGTACATTTTCAACATATATTTTTAATTTTACATTCAGTAGGTACAGACTGAAAAAGGTCACCACTCATATACTGAGAAATGTATTCAAGTATATAAATATTTTAACAGTCTTTTATTAGACACCTACCTATTTAGAATTATCCAGATAATTACATCAAAGTCTCTTTTTTTTTTTTCTTTTTTTCTTATTATTTTTTTTCTTTTTTTTGGTACCCCGTAAGCTCAGCCACCATCCTTAGCATAAAAAATACCCATGTAAGTATTTGCGCAAGTTAATTGATATTATGTTTATGTTCCTAGTAGCTCAGTTCGGGTGCTTTCTCGGTACCGAAAGCCCTGCCTTCCCTCTTATCCCATCAACCTGTGTACTTGACCCCAAGCCTTACCTGCAGAGTTGATAGCATTTTAAAAATAAGCAGGTTAAGGGAAGAAAGATATATAAGATTGTGTGGAGTGGCTTTTTTATATAGTGTAATGAGAGAAGGCATCTATTTCTAAGGAAGTGAGGAAAGTATGCCATGCGAAGATAAAGAAGGTGGCCATCGAGGCAGGACAGCGAAGGCACAGGCCACGGAATTAGCAGATGCCTCAGGCTACACATTTAGGAGATTTCTGTTGAGAGTTTATTCAAGTAAAATCACATTTAAATTCATTACTTCCAAAAGTTGTTGTGAAGTTGCTTCTCCAGCCAAGTGAAGGAAATAACCTCAATACAGAGAAATAATTACTCTTTCTTTATGTTTTTTTAGATGTTGCTAAATTTGCATAAGAAGAGTTGGATGGAAGGTTTGACACTTCAGGACTACAGTGAACACTGTAAAAACAATGAATCAGTGGTAAAAGAGATGTTGGAATTAGCCAAGAATTACAATAAGGTAAAAGTTTATTCCAACATTTATTTCTTATAGTCTTTTGATTATGTATGATTAAAATGTCAAGCATTGTACAAATATAAATAGTTAAAAATAGAGCAGCCTGTTTTGTAGACCAGATAGTAGACATTGGCTTTGCAGGCAACCTGGTCTGTTGCAACTACTCAGTTCTGTGTTGTAGTGTAAAAGTAGCCACAGACAGTATGTAAAGGGATGAGTGAGGTGGTGTTCTAGTAAAACTTTATTTATTAAAACAGGCAGCTGGTAGGATCTGGCCAATGGGTTTGCCAAATCCTATTATAGACCATGTAAAATAGTTTTATGTCTCAAATCTGTTCATTATTCAGAGGACCTTTTCTTGTAAGGAAATGGGAACAGGATGTAGACAACCACAGCAGCATTCAATACTTGCTACATATAATTAATTTATGAACTTTGTTTTTCATTTTAAAAGTATTTATTGAAAACCTAGGTGCCAGGCACTGGCGATATCGTGAGAAGCAAGACCTGTTGTCACAGAGCTTTATGGTAGGGGAGACAAAGTGAGCAAAAAATACACCCTGATGCATTCTCGTTGGTGCTGTGAGGAAAATAAACAGGATGGTGGAGAGAGAAGTAACTGGGGGAGGCCACTCGCATAAGGTGGTTAGAGTTGTATTTTGCAGCATCTCCTGAAAGTGTTTATTGTGTGCTAAAATATATGTGACCATGATAATGTTTTTGTTCATGGATTTACATTCTTTTATAATTCTGAAACTAAGAAAATACTTGAGCTATGACTAAAATGTATCTTCTGTAGTGTATTAACTTCCTAGCTACCATAACAAAACTGGGTGTTTTGAAATAACAGATATATGCCCTCACAGTTCTAGAGGCTAGACTCCAAAATCAGAGTATTGGTAGAGCCGTGCCCGACCTCTGAAGCTTCTAAGGGTGGGTCCTTGCTTTCCTTTTCCAGCTTTTGTTAGCCCCGGGGATTCTTTAGCTTGTGGGAGCGTAACTCCTATCTCTAACCAGGGTTAAGATTTCAACATACCATTTTGTAGGACATGTTATGATTCAATTTATAGCATGGACCAAATCCCATATAAAGGATAGATTTTATATTTTTTTCCAGTATATCAGATGTATATGTATGTGTGTATATATAAATTGCAGCAGAGGTTTTTTGAAATAATATTTGCCCTTATTACATTCTGTTTTCTTTCTCATTTGACTCAACTGCATTTTATTTCAATTACATATATTCACATTACACACAAATATTATAATCTGAAACCCATTAATGGGTTGAAAACCAATTTGTAAAACATATAGATAACATTTAGTTTACATAAATGTAATGTAAATCTATTGAATATCTCCTGTAGAAGTTGTGATGGAAAAAAAGGGATTCGTCCTTCATTTATAGGAAAACAGACAGTAAGAAAAATCTATAAATAATGAGAGTACTAGACCAGAATTGGTTCCATAACACCTTAGTATTCAGATTATCCACAGGTCAGCTACGTCAGTATCACCTGGGATCTTGTTAGAACTGCAGACTTTAAGACCTCCTGAATCAGAATCCACATTTTATCAAGGTTTCCTGCTTTGTATACTCATTCAAGTTAAAAGTTAGAGAGCACCGCCATGGAGAAGCCATGCACAGCCCCATGGAAGTTCCGAAGGTCTTGCTCTTGGTTAGGGAAGACTTAGGATGCTATCGTACAGAATAATATTTCAGCTAGACTTTAAAGCACGAATAATATTGGGACATACAAAGAAATGTTACCCTAAGTAAAATAAACATCACTGGCAAAGAACAGGAAACAGGAGAAGCAAGGACATGTTTAGGAAGTTGTGTTTGGCTAGAGTACATAATACATGAAAGTGAATTGTGGGGAATAAAGTTTTTTAAAGTTACTGAAATAAAATAACAGGGTTTAGAATATCAGGATAGAGTTATTTTTGATTGGGGACACACACCGAGAACCTGAGTTTAGAAACATAATTTGACGGTGGTATGGAAGAAGGAGTGTTGTAAAGGGAGATTTGAAGTGGAGATTCTGTTTAGGAGGAGGTTGCTACTACCCCAACAAAAGGTACTAAGTGTCTGCATTTACGATAGTGGCATTGGAAACAGAGAGACAGATAAAGCATGGCACCAGTTGGATGCTGAAGTCAAAGAAAGAGGAATCAAAGAAGAATTCAAGGTTTCCTGCCTAGGTGACTAGCAATCTGTTGCTACCTTTAACATTTCCAGTTTGGGTAGAATTAGAAAGATTGAGAAAGGGCAGAAAGTTCATTTTAAACAAGCAGTTAGAAATGTGGGACTAAAAATTAATGGTAGGGGCTGGGCTAGAGTTTAAAATTTTGGAGACAGTTAAAATTGATATCGATTGTCACACCAAAAAGTAATATTTCTCTTTTTAAGTGAAACACATCTTATCAAAACAAATATTAACCAAGAGACAGTGTATAAAATTTGTACATGTATGTAGCAACGAGTCTTTTGAAAGAATTAAGCTTTGAAAAAAAGTTGAGGAACTCACAAACTAAATTTGTGATAGGTTTGGCTTTGAAGAACATGCCCTGCTTTTTGTGTAATATTCCAGCTGGAAATCCCCATTGGTTACCCTACAATCTATGTAGGAGAAATATTTTTTATCTTTCAGTATATGTTTTCATGCTGTAAACATTAAAGAGAAAGAAATAATTTATCATACTTAAAACAGTTAACCTTTTATAAATTAAAAACTTACAACTTATTATTCGGCAGACTGTAGAAATGACTTTCATTTCTCAGTAACATTACACTTCTAAGTAAATTCATATTGGTACCATTGCCAGGAAATAACCTATTTATGGTTCCTGCTGCCCATCCACAGAAGTTTTTCCACTTTTACAGCTTTAAAAAATCTCTGTAGTACTCAAAAACTTGTAAGGTTTGGTTATAAAATGAAAACAATGTGTAAGCTGTGATATGAAGGAGTCCAAATTTGGGAATGTAATTCCCTATGTGATTGAAGGAGAATGTGGTGGAGTTTTTAGTAACACTTAAAATATAAAAAGAAAGGCCCATGCTACCAATTCCTCATAGCATTCTTTTTAATTGCTTGGTATTTTAAACTTAGGTAATTGCTGTTAGGTGCCAGTTGGCTCCTAAAGTGAAAGAAGGTTAAAAAGTAATTAAATTCCTTTGTCTTTACTTTTTAATTTCAGGTCTGAATTCCACACAAAGATTCTGCTTGATAAGTAGTCATTGATTTTTCTAATTACTGAAATATAACAGCCACAACTGTTACTCCAAATCTCCTTTATTCTTGCCAAGATGCATCATTTTTTAAAATATATTAATAGATGATTGGCTATTTCTAAAATGAATATGCAAGTGAAAAAAATGAATTGTAAAAGAACATTTTAACAATAGAATAGGAACATCAAAGTTTGCCTTGTTTTCAAACATAGCTCTATAAATTCTGAGATCTGACAGTTTACTTTTCAGGAAGAAATATTGCCTACTTAGTAACCCAAAAGAAAGTTTGGGTATTTTTTTTTATGTGATTACATAAGAAATATGTAATTATATTACATTTAGTTTATTACAGCAGCTATATTAAATAGGAAAATCTTGTTTGATGATAGTGCAGTAAGAAAAGAAAAACAAAATAAGACATAAATATTGGGAAAATCGGGTCAGATTATCATTAAGTATGATAGGATATGGTTACAATCAAACGTAGAAATCCAAGAGGCTAAATTAGAAAATTGTTACAACTGTTGTAATCGAGAATTGCATAGGTGGTTACATAGGCTGAAACCAGTTGAAAAATGTAATAGGCAAATCAGTTGACAGCACCCAAAATGATAAAATGCTTAGGAGTAACTACTAAGAAATATTAAGTGTATATGACTTATTTGAATAATACTAAAAGCATTTGTGAATAAATTCCCTTCTTTTCAAATGGGAAGACTCAATATTGTAAAACTACTGTCAAGCTTCCCAAAGATGACCTTAATTCTTAAGAATACAATGAGCTTTTAAAATTTTGATAAGTTGACAGTAAAGTTTATATGCAACAAAAATAATAACTAAAATTTATTGAATACTTTTTAGAAGTCACACTGGGAGAAAATATTTGTACTTGTAACACAGGGAGGGCTGGTATCCAAAAAAGGATAATATCCAAAGAATTCCTATAAAATTGTTTTTAAAAACAATAATTTTAAAGACGAGAGCAAGAAAACTCACTGAAGATAAATGGCATATACACTTAAAAAGAAAGTTCAGCCATATTAAATAGTTAAAGAAAAAGAAGTAGAAAAATTTTTTCCTTTTAAATTAAAAAAAAATTGGGAAAGTTCACTGCTAGAGGGAAGGCAAAGTGATAGGACATTTTTAGAGGCCATCTTTCAATTTTACCTTCAAGTTTAAATGCATGTAACTTTTAAACCAACATGTTCTGTTTTAAGGGTTTATTATGAAGAATATAGTTCTGTAAGTCCCAACTTAGAGAAATATTTACAATTTGCTGTTATGTATAAAAATTAAATTATGTAATAATATGAAAAGTCCCTACTGTGTTACTCTATTTCCTCCATTTTCCAAATATCTCTCACATTATATCTCAGAACATTATGTTGTTAGCAGTGTTACCTCTAAGGAGGAAGTAGGAAAATAATACACTTTATTTAAATCCTGAACTATTTTCGGTGTTTGCACTGAGTTTTTCTTGCATCTAAGATTGTATTAGCACAAAGTAACAATGACTTAAACAAGATAGATATTTATGTCTCTTGCAAGTCAAGGCTAGTAGGAAACTTTGAAGTGATGCCTTCTGCATTTTGCTGTACTTCCCTTGTACTGGCTTCCATCCTTTAGACCTTCTCGTGGTTCAGGGTGATTGCCAGACCTTTAGCCATCCCGTCTGAATCCCAGCCAATAGGAACAAAAGGAAGAGCAAGAGGGCGATACATCCCAGCCTACATCAGTTCCCTGTCAGGATCCGTTCCGTAATTCATACCCCACACTTGTGATTATCTCACTGGCGGAACTTACTTCAGTGGACACACCTTGCTTTGAGAAAGCCTATATAATGTAGTTCTACTGGGAGCATTGCTGCCTTTAATAAAATCAGGGTTACATTACAAAAAAAGAAAGGGAAGATATATATTGGGTGGGCAATGAGTAGACTCTGCCATAGAACTTTTTCAATAAGCCAAACTACAATTTCTATTACACATGCACACTTGTGCACGTGCACACACATACACATATCATCTTTATTTTATATTACTATCTCATGTAATTACATTTAAAAATTGGATTCCCTGTAAGATTTTTAGGAAGAATTTATGCTGTTCAGGGATACTTAAACCATGGATTGGGCTTTATCATTATTCCAGTTGTGTCATTAAAAAAGCAGTATTTCCTAAAAAGCCACAAATATTGGTTTGAGATCTTTGGAGATAGATAGGATCATTGTTTATGGCTATATGTGTCCCCATCATTCTTTGTGCACACTCCTTTTTTGTGTATTTCATACTGCATTATAATTTGAGCTTTACAGGCAAGTAAGGCCCAAATGGGAGCTCCTTGAAGAGCAAAAACTGCCTTACTTAGAGTCTGTGCTTAATAGAGATTGTTGGATATGTAAAATGATGAAACTTACACTGTTGAGGACATACACAGAATGTACTTGAGTGTCATCCAAAAGGAGAGCTAGAAAAAAATTTTATAGTAGTGTTATTGCTGGAATTAACATGTGGTTTCCCCATGGAGATAATGCCTAATTTCTTCATATGTAAAATGTAGACTGACTACTTCACTGAGATGTTTTAAGGGTCCAGCAAATTACTATTCATAAGAGCACATGTATGTTAATGTTTAATTACTGATGGTTGTAGGAAAACCACTTTTTTTTGTTCTCCATATGCACACATAGCTCTTTCTTAGTTTCCTGATTCGTGCTTGTTAATTTTGCTTTTCCAGGTATGTTTTATAAAAGTCATTTCCTTTAAACCTATCCTTGACCCATAACCCATAATGTGACTTTCAGTTACTGACTTGATATAAAAATGAAGGAAGAAGTGGAACACATTATCTTGAAATTCACTAGCAGTGATGCAGAGATTATTTAATGGTGAAAAAAAAAATACCGTATTGGTAAATTTAGAAAAGCATATAAAGAAAAGCATGGCGTATTACAGAATGAACAAAGTTAACATGTCAAAGAGAAAAAAAGAAGCCCAGGGAATTACCTACTAGAGAAATATAAAATGGAAAAGAGACATGGTGTCATAGAAGCAAAGGTTAAAGGATTAGAAGAGATCAGGTATTGTAGTTGCTCTCTGAAGGTGCTCAGAAAGTTCAAGAGAACTGAACCCATTGTAGTTTACATGGTGGAGAGCCTTAAAAAAATGTTCATGAAGTACTGAGGAGCCAGTCCCTGTTTGCTGAAGGGTAAATATAGTGGTAGAACTTGAGATACAGGTTTTCCACTTGAGAAATATGACCATTACCAGAAAAAAAAGACTGAGGTTATGGGTTTAGTAAAAGCCTCTTTGAGATAGGGGATATATATAAGGGGTTTATGATAATATAACAGACCAAATTCCAGGAATTTCTTAGAACTGTGCAGATCGTGCATGATGGGATAGCCATCTGGGGGTCTTTGTTGATAAACTGTTAAAAACGTTTCTAGCGTGAATAGCCACAAACATTTTCAGTGCTTTTTGTTGGTTGAGTAAACCAAAGAGCATGAATGCAAAAGCAAAATTTGATGCCAAATCACAGAAGTTGCCATAAACACAGAAGTTCCCCTAGTGAGGACACTGCCTGTGCCTGAATTTCATTTGTTTCTGCTGCTACCATTTTTTAATTTTTCCTGGTGACTGGCCAGATTAGAACTATGAATGAAGACAAAATGGTCTTGTCTAGATAGTAGATGAGATAGATGTAAGTAACTTAGGTAGACGGCAAAAATATTTAGGGGTTTGATGTGATGATCTGGTCTATCTTAGAAAGTGAGGGATGTGCTCACTCTTTTGTCGTGGGGGTTTGCAACCTTAGTATATGCCTAAATCTACAGCTGCTCCTCATTTTCCAGATGGCATCTATGGCTGTGGAGTACTTTTTACCATCTGCACTTCTCGAAGAGTTTGTGAACTCTCCTTTTTAATTATTGGAAATGGAAAAACTAATTGGTAAAGTGGCTAAATGATGTAAAAGATTCTAAAAATTATTAGAGCTTTTAACATTCTATTTAACCTTTCAAGTAAGATCAGTCCTTTAAATGTTTTTTGACTTTCATCTTTACGTATCTGCCATCTTTGATATTTGCAGTACTCCAAAATACTCCATAATAGCTGTTTTGTACATGGGTTGGTATTTTGAGCCAAATTCCAAACTGCGTACCTCCTTCCAATACTGTAAAGTACTATTGTTGGCATGTGTATACAGCAACTGACACTGAATGGATATAGAGTACAAACTTATGTGAATTGTTCCATTCATCTATCATGTTTTCAAGTTGGGATTTGTAAAAGTAATTTAGAAAGACCAACTTTTTATTTGTTGCCAGTGTTTCCGTATATGTAAAACATTGTGATAGTGGGAGAAGCAATTTCCCAGTGAGGAAATATTTTTTTAACTAGCTGAAAATAATAGGAGTGACATCTGACTCTGAAAATGAACATATTCTCTGTCTGGGGAATTCTAGATTTGGAGTGTTATTAACTTTTATTTTTCCTTCTTTCAGCTTTATGAGTCATAAATGTATTTCCTAATGATGTGTTGTAAATAAGTATCCTCTAATAATCAGTAGATACAATACTTATCATCATCTTTTCTCTTTAGGAGGTTCTACTGGGAAAATTCTCTAGATAGTTTGTCCATTTATAAAATTAGACACTTGCCATCTTTGCTCATTTTCAAGTTCTCTGTTTACAAAACTATTAAGAAGGTGTGAAATGCAGCCAAACTTCCCAGTTTATGGGAAATGTCTGATGATTGCATTTCCTACATGTTCATTGTTCACACATGAAGAAATTTGGCAGCTGTGAGATTATTAAGTTTAGAGTATCCAAATCTAACCCTCACAGGGATTTTGGTTTCCTGCTTTCTGCCACCACCATCTCACCTCCTTTGTAACCATATTTGTGGTAAGTTCTGTGGTGTTATTTCTTAAGGTTGGTGATCCTAAAATTTTCTTCGTTTTCTGTTTATCAGGTGTATGAATAAATCAGTTAGTGAATCAGGAGTTCGCCTGATGCAGAGTCCCAGCTTCGGGCAGTTAACATACCCAAACTGTTAAGAAGGAGCTTCCTTACACTTAGACTGCTCAGTAAAGAGGTTTTGTTGTGGTGTCATTATTGGGAGAGGAGGGCAGTGTAGGAGTTAATCTAAATGCTGTAATTATTTCAGAATTACTCTGCTGGAAAATATGTGATCCTACATGTAAGAGTGTGGCTAACTCTGAAAATAGTAGACAGTGATTTATGTGTATTGTTGTTTTGGTTGGTTAACTTTTATCTGATAATGGCTTTTAATTGAAGTAATTTTTTGATGTTGGAAACTTCAGATCACTTGGAATTTCTTCATGATTATTAAAGGTCACTCAGGTGAAGAAGTGAGGTTTTTTTCGTGAATGCATGTATCACTATTAGAAATTGAAATGTGTGAAGTTATTAAGGGAGAAAACTATATGATTTGTTCAGTGGATCAAAAGTCAGCGGCTCCTTTCACCCTAAGTGCTACTAATAGAATTGAAATAGATACCAACTATGCACAGATTCAGTTGACAAGAAAAAAACCAAAACAGGGAAGTTAGGGGAGAACTGTAGTGAAAGTAGGAGAAGGAAAAGAGGACAGAAAAGGACTGCCTAGTTCCAAGGTGCTCTCTCTCAGATTCTTCACTCTTCAGCCGTTCCTCAAAGAAATGCCATATAACAGGTTTCAGATGCTTGACATTGCCACGTGGGCCAATTTGATATTTTCAGTGTTTTTTAAGTATTTCTTAAGTCTGTTTTCAAAATGAGAGTGGTAATAGTTTTCATTACCCTGAAGCTTATTCTGAAGATCAGCAAAATTGCTTTTTTAAATTTTTCAATAAATTACTTGAATAAAAGGTTATGCTTGAAATTTGGTTGCCAGTATCTTTGGTGATTATTCTTCAGTAGGAAAAGTACATTTAGAATTTGAAACTCTGTCCTTTGTGTTTCATTCACAGGCTGTAGAAGAAGAAGATAAGATGACACCTGAACAGCTGGCAATAAAGAATGTTGGCAAGCAGGTGAGGTGTACTGTGATAGGGTGAGCAGTGACATAATAACATGCTCTTATAGAATTAAAACTATTTTAGGGCCTGTATGACTTCTTTTTTCCTGTCTATTCACTGTACATTTTTCTTAACATATAAATGTAATGGTAATTTAAAGGTCACTGAATTATTTGATTTCAGATTCTCTTTGTCATCTATGGAGAAGTAAATCACAAATATACCTGTGAGATACTATCTTTAGTGAAAATAATATACTAGAAATAAATTAGGAAACTTGTGTCCTGATTAATTTTTCAAGTTTTATTTTTACTTGAAATAATGTCAGTGAAGATGAGAGAATAGTAAATGTATTTCGTATGTGACCGTTTTTTAAATGATACAGTTTATCAGTATGTAGGCTTCAATATATAGGGAGTGTTCCTAAGAAATCTTAAGAGTCCTATTGGTTCATACTGAGTGAAGAGAAAGGGTTTTAAGCATTTGCTCTTTCACTTTTCCAAGATGAAATATATATTTTAGTTCCTACTTTCTGAGGGTTGGGAGGGACACACCAACCAATTAAAAGAATCTACAGATTAATTAGACTGTTTTTTAAGGAATGTTGATTATATTTTTTTCCATTTCATGGAACATGGTTATCATATTGCTGATGTTGGCAGAATCTTGATATTTCAGATGCAAGACACTAAGCTGTCTTTGCTTTCAGCCATCCTACCATATGCTCTGATCCCATCACATCTCACAAGCTATGTAGGTTTGGGCCAGGACCATTCTTGGATGGGAAATCTCTAAGAAGCACCCAGCTGCCACAAGAAGTGATATAGTAACTGAGGGAAGTGTGTTACTGACTCACTGCGAAACCAGTCACTCCAACAGAGCAGGGGGCGCAAAGGTCCGGTTTAAATAATATAATCGGTGAAATCAATCTCACGACATTCAGGATATTAGAATCTAAAAACAAGAATCCTCAAACAGAATTGTAATATAGTTCATTTTATTCTCTCGTCCACTGTGCAACAGTCGCCCTTGTTGCCTTTTCCCACTACTTAGTCAAATATGTTTTATTAGACCACCAGCTTGGAGCCTTGTGCTTTATAGGGTCTAGGAACTAATTTTTTAAAGGCCATAGTTTCTTGATGTCGATTTTATTTAACAATTAGCAGCAAGTAAAAGGACTGAATGAAAATAAAAGTGAAATTGAAAAATATGTAATTGGCAAAGTTTAATAATTATCAGAATCACTTTTTAAAGTCTATTACCTCACTGGCCAAACTGTCTATAATGGAATCAGACCAACACCTGTTTCTCCTGACAGTCTTTCTCAGTCTCTGTCACCTGAAATGCCCTGAGGCTAATTTCTGAATAAAGAAAATTTAATATTGTTGTCTAGTTAATTGAAATTATTTGTAACATGTTGTATCTCTGGTCTGTTGAAGGAAGTGAAGCGTATTGAAATTATAGTTGAGCAAAGAACAGCCAAGAAACAATTCCAGTGATGAACATTTGTTTAAAGTTGGAGGAGTCCTGAGTATTTTAGTGATACCTATAAGAAAATAATGGCGTTAGTTGAAAGTTTCTTATTGTGTGCAATATATATCATTTGTTTCAAAGCTTTCAAATTTAACTGAAATACTTCATTCAGCTCAGCATTAAACATAAATACAAATTAAGTATTTTAATTTAACTTCCTTTATTTCAGTGCAATTTTAAACCTCATTTTTATAACTCTGACATTTCAAATATAGATTTGATCAGGTTTAAAAGATTGTACTTACATACTTTTCTATAATACATTTTTTTCAAAATACCTGCATTGAAATATTTATTTCACCATTTTATAATTGATCCAAATTGTATTTTAATTTTTTAACTACTAACAGTGACTTTTGATCCAAGAATACGTTGTGAATCATTTAAAGCACTATTCCTGAAATATCAAAATTATACAGGAATTGAATATGAATTACAATTACAGAGGAATTACATTGAACTCTTACCTATTTTTATGTCTGCTTTGAGTAAATTACCCATTCAGACATTCAATAAGTGTGAATGGCAGAAAATAAACACACATACTCAGACTTATACACACATATAAATGCTTATACTTAAAAAAAAATCAGGTGATATGGGCTGTAAAGAATTCCTTGTTCCTTTTTATAATTTCTGGGACAGAATCACAGCATTGATTGCATAAATCAGTCTTTCATTATGTAATCTTATTTTATCAGCTTCCTAACTTTTTATCAAATTTGGAAATCTGAAGAATATAACAGTATATTCGGAACATTAGATTGTAAATTATATTAATTTAGGTTTAGCTTTCTTTACCAATATCAGCTACTGTGAAAAAAATCTTAACTCGTCCACCAATAATATGGTTCTTTTTTTTTCTTTCTTATTTTGTTTTTATTTAGGACCCCAAACGTCATTTGGAGGAACATGTGGATGTACTTATGACTTCAAATATTGTCCAGTGTTTAGCAGCTATGTTGGATACTGTCGTATTTAAATAAAGCAATGCAAAAAGCTATTAGTGATACTTTCAGTGTATATTCCTCTATTGTTCCTAATGCTCAAAATCAAGGGACCTCGAAAGGTGTATTTGGTTAAACGTAAGACATCTGGCATCATTTACAGCACTAACACCTTCAGTCTCAGTTGTGCAATTACTTCTGTTTCTTTAGTCAGGGTCTTTGCAGATTCCAAAGTTGTATAAGAATACATTCAAGTGGACAAATTTTGTTAAGATCCCATTTAATATTTGAAGAAATCAGTGACACAAATATATTTTGATTGTTGCTTACAAAATAAAATACATTTACAATCTCTGTCTCCTGAGGTCTTTTTGGCACTGGTTGGAATTGACAATAACATTTGGCGGTGCTCTAGAAATCTCACACAAAGGTATGTTTCCCTTTGCAATTTAAGATCTTATAACACATAAAGCACCAGTGTGATAACAAAACTTAATAAATGTAAAATGATTGCCATTAATGAATGGCTACCTCATTAGTGAGTAACCCAGAAAAAAATGTTGACGTATTAAAAATATTTGTTGCAAGTTAATATTGTGTATTCAGTATCTTGTTAACATACCATACTTTCAGGGTTTCCAGAGAGTAGATTTAAGAAGAAAAAGAGGGCAATTTTAATTTAGACTTTATCATTTTTTAAAGAATACATTCCACCAGCAGTTTTGAGATTGGGAGTTTCTAGCTGCAAACGACTAGACTTTCAGAGAAGGTAGAGAAGGTCTTCAGGGCAAAATGAAAAAAGTAGCTGTACTGTGAGCTTAATATCATGAACACATAAGCAATTATTTTGTTACTGTTTTTTCTCATCTTTCCCAAGTAAACTTAAAAGTGACCAGTTTTCTGGTAAAGACAAAAATGACTAATGGTAGTTTTCAGAGATGACCTCCTCCCTCAATCTGTTTCCAACCTGATATACATAAATAACTGCCCCTTTTAATGTTCATTGTACTGCTCCATATTGGGTACACCAAGGAATATGGCAAAACATACGGAAACAAAGATTTAATTCTTGTCTGTACCCTTTGTGAAAATATGGAAAGAATGTTTCTAAGGCTTTATTAAAGGGGGTTTTTACTTAGGGATTTAGAATTTAGCCTCTCTAGAGATGGTATAATGATATGATAGACCAAGTTTCTGTTCTATTTGAACAATTCTAGGCTTTTACTGGCTGCTTAATGAAAAGTTACCAGAAACTAAAAGTGGAAATGGCTTAAATTCCCACAGTGTTTCATAGTCTCTTTTTGATGGAATAAGAGAGTTTCTTGAGCTTTACTTGCTTTTCCTGTGGTTTCTTTTATACATATTAATGATGTGTCTCTAGTAGGACAAGTAATATGTATTAATTGCTGGGATTACCACAGCTAACCATTTACAATTAAAATATAAATGGAAGTTAGAAGCTTCTGCCTAATTTAAACTTATGTGCAGGCTGTTTTTTTTTTTTTTAAAGAAACATGGTTTCTCCCTTTATGTAAGTAAGGTTCTATGAATTATTTCACAGATAATTGTTCATAGAGCTAGTAAAGATTTTTTTTGGACAGGATGCCCTCGGAAGAAGGCCTCGATAATCCAAGGGCTCTTTTCAGAATTTCATTTGAAAACCCTTTTTTCCCCCCTTTAGTCCCCTGAAAATACCTTCCAAGTGAGCCCAGTGACTGAGAAGGCTTTGTGATCACCTCATCTTCCTGGACTCCCCACAGCCACATAACATTTTCCTCTACCTGGTTCATGTTGGAAACATTCCCAATTTCAAAATCTTATCAAAGTCCCTCCAAGCAAAGACAACATTTTCTTTGTGGATTAGGAGTCAATCAAAATTAGGATATGGTAAAAAGAGACTCGGTGAACACCCTTGTCTCGAAATGTGCAGCTATTTTAGCAGCAGCAGCAGCCCTTGACGGCCCAGGCCCAGTGAGGCATTGAAATGACTTAATCTACAAGCTTGTACACTTCAGGTGTGTATGTGCTCATGTGAGCATGTCACCTACTGTGCAGTATTAAAGTATCTTTAGAATCAAAACTATTGCTTGAACTATGGAGATGTCCCTGCTTTCCTCTTAGACTAGTATGGGGGCTTTGAAATCTCCAGTCTCACCATGCAGTGTGATCTGCCTGCCTGGACCGGGAGCACTTGGGTCTCCTGGGGGCTCATTATATATACAGAATCCAGGCACCACTCCAGACCTGAATTCAGAATTAAGAATCCTGGTGTGGTTCGTATGCACTTTAAAGTTTGAGAAACCCTTTTGTAGGGAAGTAGGGTTCAAGAGCAGGTGTGCCGATAACTCTGAAGGCTGGCACAGTCTATCCCTTTTCTATACATTCCTCGTTTTTTAAAAATCGAATTCACGGTGTGGGGAATGACAAAAACCTGAAGAAAAGCCCAGGTGGAGTCTTTACATTTTGCTACACAGTTGAGGCTCTGTGTCCTACTGAGGAAAGGGGGGGTAACTTTGGAAGCAGTGGAGAGAGCGCTCAGGGACAAAGAAGGTAACGATGGAAGAAAAGAGAAAACGAGAGCAGCCAATATTGGGCAAAAGCCTCTCACCAGAAATGCTGGTGGAAGGTAAAGGGCAGAAAAAAACAAGTGCCAAATAGTGTCATAGCTACTGTACCCTCCCCCGCACTGCAACGCCTCAACAGCTAAGGCCCTGCTAGTTTATAAAGCTTCCGGGCCAGGAGCTGAGATTTGCTTCCGAAAGGGAAAAATGGGTCTGGCTCTATTTTTCTCCTAGAAAACTGTCTCGGCTTGAGTCTGGGACATCTGGTCGTCAACCTGTCCAGCCCAGGGCCATGGTCGGCAGGCCGTGCTCGCGGCGCCCTGGGGAAGGCCACAGCTGGTGCCCTCTGCAGCCAAGCGGCCTCTGGAACGCAGTCTGGGCTCAGCGCTGACAATTTGGCCCCCCGAAGCAGCGCTCTGCAAATGCGCCCGCCTAGGCGTAGGTGGAATCTGGTTAACCCGTCTCTGCCCACGCCTCTGCTAGGGACCCACCCAAGGTCCCTAGCGCAGCTCTCCCGCAGGGAGTGGCCTGGCGCCCGGGGCGGGTAGACGCGCTCTCCCGAAGGCAAGGGCTGTACTGGGCTGAGGTGCCCGGAGGCGCGGGAAGAGTGTGCGCCCTGGGGTCTGCCCCTGACGCGGCTAGCCCCGTGCTCCCCCCAGTCTCTGGGGCGTCGGCCCCCTCTCGGGATCTCCAGGGTGCTGGGGTGCCCACTCTCGGGCCGCTCGGGCATCTTCCACAATGAGCCAGAGCCAGGCGGCCGGCCTGGTGGCAATGCCGGGCGCGGGGCGGGTGGCTCGCCCACCGCCAGACCGTCAGCAGTGCCCCGCGAGGAGCCCGCCCGTCTGCGGCCAGCCGGCGGGACCCAGCCGAGCTCCGGCGCTGCGCTCGCCCTCGTTCCCGCGCGGCTCGGCCTCCCGGGCAAAGCCGCGGGCGGGCAGGGCGGCGGGAGCCCGGCCAGGGAAGCGGCTTTGGGCTAATAAAACCTCTTCTGCTCTCGGCCCTCTGGTCCAGGCGGAGGGCTAGGCTCCTCTGCAAGGCCATTTCTGGGGTTTTCTTCTATAACTCGGGGTCGCCTTGGGCCTCGTGCTATTTATTTGTGCCCACATCCTTTTAAATTGGTTCTCTATTCCTTCTTAGATTCTCCTCATTTAAAAATTACTGGCATGGATTCTTTTTCTCTCCTCCAGATTATATAAACATTAAATACACTCGCGCGCGCGCGCGCGTGCCTGCAGCAACTATCACTGCGTTGACACCACTTCCATTCTGTCTCCCCGGATCAGTGCTTCTAGAGAACCCATTTGCACGAGGACTCGGCCCTCTCTTTTTCTGGCGAGGCTTTTGAACGTGTCGCCAAGCCAGTACCTCAGAGAGAAGGAAATGCAGTGGGACGCAAGGGATGCATGGCGCCTGTCCCCAGTTAGATGCTTTTCAGATAATCTGCAACCAAGCTCGCTGATAAAATATTTAGTAAAGACCTCGTAAACATCCCTGCAAACACATTAAGACACTTCAGCCCGACAGCTTATGATTATTTCAAAACTTAAAAAGGAGATCATAGATTGTCAGTGTTTCTGTGCTCAACCAAGAAACCGAACCTTCCCGAGGTGGGTGGATGGGTAGGTGAGTTGCTGCTTTTCGCCCCCTCTTCTCACCCCGCCCGCTCACTTTCATCGCTGTGCCTCTCAGCAGCAGTGATTTATTTATTTATGTATGTAGTTTAAAAGGTGTGCGTCGGGGAGTGGGGGTAGTTCCGCCGAGGACACGCAGGACCTGCTCACAAAGGACTGGCTCAGGTGTTGTGCGCGTCTGTATTAACTGGAAAAGACAGACTCTGGAACTTTTACAGGGCGAGAAGAGGCCACGGCTCGCGCTTTGTATACTTTGCACTTGAAATCGTTACATTCAACTGAATATTTGGCTCATTCAGATCCGAAAAGTCTCCTAGCATCGTTGAATTCCCTCCTCCGCCCCTCAGCTCGAAGGGAGGGAGGTGGGGAAGGTAGGAAAATGTTTAGTAAATTGCACATCTCTGAATCTTCCTAAAGCAGTGGTCACAAAGCTTAAAGGTGACACAACAGTGCTCACGTATAACCAACACACATTCCCCACCCCCCAAACCAACAATAAAATCATCCCCTTCAATTTGCCATGATCGTCGCGACCAGGAGCCAGGTGATTATCCTAATTAATGTCTATCTAATTAAATTACTGTCAGCAGTTAACCAATGGCAGGAGCCGTTTCATCGGCTGCACAGGCAGCAAGATCAAAAGTGAGCCTTTTCTGATTGCTGCATAGTGTCAATTGGCCAATCTCTTCTCCCAGGGAAAAAAAAAAAGTAAATCAAACCTTTGAGAAGCATTTGCTGGTTGAAGTGCTTTCTGTCTAGTGAGGGGGTCTGTGGATTTCTAGTTTATGATAAATAGGACTTTAAAAACCAGGACAGGAGGGCGAGTGTTCAGGTTCTAGAGCTATGCAGCTGGAGCACTGCCTTTCTCCTTCTATCATGCTCTCCAAGAAATTTCTCAATGTGAGCAGCAGCTACCCACATTCAGGCGGATCTGAGCTTGTCTTGCACGATCATCCCATTATCTCGACCACTGACAACCTGGAGAGAAGTTCACCTTTGAAAAAAATTACCAGGGGGATGACGAATCAGTCAGATACAGACAATTTTCCTGACTCCAAGGACTCACCAGGGGACGTCCAGAGAAGTAAACTCTCTCCTGTCTTGGACGGGGTCTCTGAGCTTCGTCACAGTTTCGATGGCTCTGCTGCAGATCGCTACCTCCTC